ACGTTGGGCTGCAGAGGAAACAAGGCAGCATGGGAGAACCTATCGAGCACAGTAGAGCCACCAAGGCCTGCATATAGAGGACTCACTTGCCGTCTCTCGGGAACATATCCATATAACAGTAGCCAATAAAGTGATCATCAGCAGCGTCATTGACAGCCAGGCAAACGACGTCCTCGTGCCACACTGGCTGGTCCGTGACCTGACAGGGCCCCTCACTGTACCGTCTTAGTATAGATTATCGCATTGCGCTTCTCTGTTGGGTGTATGCTGTAGGAACTTACTCTATTGAACTTGAGGCCCAGAATACTCTCGTAGAGTTCCAACAAAGTCTTCAAAACATGTTCGAAGGGGAAATACTGTTGTATGAGGAGCTGATCTGAAATCAACGAGCAGGATGGAGGAAATCACTCTCCAGTGTATTTGATTCCTTAGGCGAGCTCAGGACCATCCATCACTGGAAATTTTCACACGACACCGTGTACAAGAATTTCCCTGGAATTTTACTCTACCACAACTCACCCACAGAGTAGTTCTTCTCCTCGACAAGGTTCCGATAGTAGCTCAAGTCGTAACAATCAAGAGGTTCGTCCATGCTAGCACCCTGGAGGCCAAGACTGTCGATAAATGACGATTAGATGATGACTCACAGTGTCCTCCTTTCGAAGCTCCTTCAGCAGCTTCTGATCGCTCGTACCACGAGTTCTAATAAAAGGCGGAGCGATGCAAGGAAATTCGATCAGCATTTCACCGTACTTGACCTTATCCTCAATACCATGTAAGAAATCCCTCACAGTGGGAGCGTTCTTGGCCATCTTCAACTCAGTGGCGAAGTCAGCATGTGAAGGGTAACCCAAAATCGCGGCCTACCAAACGGCATATGGGAAGGCCCTTCCGCGTCTTCTCCGCTTACTCTCTCTTTCCTGAGTTTCACGAGCTCTTTGAGAATCTCGGTGTTATCATCAGCACAGCGATTGTTGAACGCGCTAAGTGATAAAAAATGACCACAACTTCGCCGATTTCGAATATTTACAAGTCCATCTTCCTGCGGGTCTCGCGAACTTTGCACTTCTTGGCGATCGGAACATAGTGGGGGTATTTCAGAGTAACCTGATGGGAGTCGTCGAAAAATGGAGGTACCGGGGATCGAACCGGGGTACTTTGTATTTCCCTGACTCAGTTTTATCCAGCGTCTCGAGGAAGTCGTCGGGCATGCCATCCAACTCCTCCTTAGTAAATTCTAGTACCTAGCTCTCAGCCCTCTCGCGGTGGAAAGATGATCAGTAGGGCGGAGGACGGACCCAACTTCACCAACCAACACGGTGTATCGCACTACACTTTATTCCCATGGTATAAAGTCTATGGCATAGACTCTATGCATTACCATCACTGCTACTATCCCCGAAAAGAGTACTCCTGGAAACTCCGAAGGGCATTGGTGCGGATTCTTACAGTATTTTCCTCGCCTAGATTTTTATTAAACTTGATAGAAAGTTCGGACATCCTTTTCTTCATCTTCTCTATCTCCTCTCTGGCGGCCTCGTCAAGATGGAGACCATTACGTCTGCCTTCCTTAATGGAGCGATCGAGCAACCTTGAAAATGCACAAGTCGGAAGATTCCCGTACGACCGGTTGCCAACTGACCTCTCGCTTTCAGCATCCATCTCAGGATGTTGCTCTTGCAGAGCCACTAGAACATCGAAAACATCCTTGCGCATGGACATCTCAACGAGATGCTCTGACAGTTTCTGCGGACCAATAATTAACATGTGGGGATGACCGTGGAAAGACTGACCTGATCGGCTTCAGAACTGGCCTCTCGGATGTCCTTGTCGGGAGAGACGTTCTGGAGGAACTCCATGGAGCTGTAGCGGGGATAAAAGTCGACCCAAAACTCATTGGGAACGCCGAGCACGTTCTCAACGGTTATGTCGGACCCTGAAAAATGCAATTTGAAGTGAGAAAGAAGGATGGTATACCCTTCAAAGAGGCCAGACGATTGTGCATGTCCGTAGACTCTTTGATGAGCTCAGCGGTCCGAGTCTTGATGTCATCGACCGTGAAATTGAAGTTTAGTCTATTCAGGGTGGTACTAAGGTGGGAACGACAGTAATGACGATTCATTCACTATGGGAGGATGATGATTCGACTGGGTAATCCGTAATGACCTCCTCGCGAGGTAGGTTAGAGCTACCATGAGCACACTAAGGCCTTCTAGAAGTTGGGTCCGAGAGAGGAGACTGATGATAAACTCACCTCATGAAACGCGTGAGAGGTCTGATAAGCGATAGGCTGGAGAGTGGACGGAGGGCCGCTGTCAACATAAAAAACTGCCAAGTACGATCGAAGGCCAAAAAGCGTTGATATCGCCAATCGTCCAGAGGAAAATTGTTCCGATGGTGACTACTATTAATGTGATGACCAAGCTGGCGGAGCGATGAAAAAGGGGACAGTTTACTAGTGTGTACGCAGAGACTCTTAAGTTATTCCGCATATGAACTGCCGCACTTTACGAAGGTCTGAGGTGATCCCTATGAATTGAACTAAAACGAAACGATCTGTTACTTTACACTTCATGAATAAA